TCATAGGGTCTATTAATAGGCAGACACTGACCAACACTAGCGTCTATTAATAGGCAGACACTGACCAACACTAGCGTTTATTAATAGGCAGACACTGACCAACACTAGGGTTTATAATAGACATACACTGACCAACACTAGCGTTTATTAATAGGCACACACTGACCAACACTAGGGTTTATTAATAGGCAGACACTGACCAACACTAGCGTTTATTAATAGGCAGACACTGACCAACACTAGGGTTTATTAATAGACATACACTGACCAACACTAGCGTTTATTAATAGGCACACACTGACCAACACTAGGGTTTATTAATAGGCAGACACTGACCAACACTAGCGTTTATTAATAGGCAGACAATGACCAACACTAGGGTTTATTAATAGGCAGACAATGACCAACACTAGGGTTTATTAATAGGCACACACTGACCAACACTAGGGTTTATTAATATGCAGACACTGACCAACACTAGTGTCTATTAATAGGCAGACACTGACCAACACTAGGGTTTATTAATAGGCATACACTGACCAACACTAGGGTTTATTAATAGGCAGACACTGACCTATACTAGGGTTTATTAATAGGCATATACTGACCAACACTAGGGTTTATTAATAGGCATACACTGACCAACACTAGCGTTTATTAATAGACATACACTGACCAACACTAGCGTTTATTAATAGGCACAAACTGACCAACACTAGGGTCTATTAATAGGCAGACACTGACCAACACTAGCGTTTATTAATAGGCAGACACTGACCAACACTAGGGTTTATTAATAGACATACACTGACCCAACACTAGCGTTTATTAATAGGCACACACTGACCAACACTAGGGTTTATTAATAGGCATACACTGACCAACACTAGGGTTTATTAATAGGCACACACTGACCAACACTAGGGTTTATTAATAGGCAGACACTGACCAACACTAGTGTCTATTAATAGGCAGACACTGACCAACACTAGGGTTTATTAATAGGCATACACTGACAAACACTAGGGTTTATTAATAGGCACACACTGACCTATACTAGGGTTCATTAATAGACAGACACTGACCAACACTAGGGTTTATTAATTGGCATACACTGACCAACACTAGCGTTTATTAATAGGCATACACTGACCAACACTAGCGTTTATTAATAGGCATACACTGACCTACACTAGGGTTTATTAATAGGCATACACTGACCAACACTAGGCATTATTAATAGGCATACACTGACCTTCACTAGGGTTTATTAATAGGCAGACACTAACCTATACTAGCGTTTATTAATAGGCATACACTGACCAACACTAGGGTTTATTAATAGGCAGACACTGACCTTTACTAGGGATTATTAATAGGCATACACTGACCAACACTAGTTTTTCTTAATAGGCATACACTGACCAACACTAGGGTATATTATTAGGCAGACACTGACCAACACTAGGGTTTATTAATAGACATACACTGACCAACACTAGTTTTTATTAATAGGCATACACTGACCAACACTAGTGTCTATCAATAGGCAGACACTGACCTATACTAGGGTTTATTAATAGGCACAAACTGACCAACACTAGGGTTTATTAATAGGCATACACTGACCAACACTAGGGTTTATTTATAGGCATACACTGACAAACACTAGGGTTTATTAATAGACAGACACTGACCAATACTAGTGTTTATTAATAGGCACACACTGACCTATACTAGGGTTTATTAATAGACAGACACTGACCAACACTAGGGTTTATTAATAGGCATACATTGACCAACACTAGAGTTTATTAATAGGCATACACTGACCAACACTAGGGTCTATTAATTGGCAGACACTGACCAACACTAGGGTTTATTAATAGGCATACACTGACCAACACTAGGGTGTATTAATAGGCATACACTGACCTACACTAGGGTTTATTAATAGGCATACACTGACCAACACTAGGGTTTATTAATAGGCATACACTGACCAACACTAGGCTTTATTAATAGGCATACACTGACCAACACTAGGGTTTATTAATAGGCATACACTGACCAACACTAGGGTTTATTAATAGGCACACACTGACCAACACTAGGGTTTATTAATAGGCAGACACTGACCAACACTAGTGTCTATTAATAGGCAGACACTGACCAACACTAGGGTTTATTAATAGGCATACACTGACCAACACTAG